GAATGATGAGGGCAATGAATGTACAAATGCACTTTACCCAATTGATGTGTGTATGGATTGTGATAAGAGTTGTATGAGCCCCTAATAAAATGATTTAAAAAAAAAGAAAATGCTTATGCTGGACGATGAAGGCAGTGTACAGATAAAGTTAAATTAGTATGTTCATGTCATGTTCAGACCACTCCTGAAATTGAGCTAACCAAGATCACCTTGAAAACAGAAAGAGAAAGATTGGATTGGATTTCAGTTCATTAAAACAAGGTACCCGTGTTTTGAATTTTTATCATATTCCGTTCAGGGTCTGATCCTTTCAGAGGTGTTTCCTATTTTCTTTCTTGTCTAGGAAGAATACTTTTTTTTTAGCTCCCCTTCATGTTTCTAGTTCATTAATTCCCAGCATCCCTGAATACTTTCTCATGAACAAGTTCCACTCTGTGTGTAACAATTAAGTGAATAAATATTTTAGAAGTGATTTCACTTTTTGGAAAGAGGCTTAGTAATTCAACATTCATGCTTAAAGGAATAAGAGAATGTTCTGTTCATATACTTTTGAATTGTTATTGAAAAAAGTAATTGCATCAGAATGCTTTGGGCTACAAACCATAGAAATACAACTTGTACCATTTAATGGTATAAACAGTCCAGAAATTGTTGCCTCTCAAAGCAAAACCCCTGTGACATGGCAGCTACTACTGGACAATTCAGCAACGCAGGCTGGACGGGGACATAGGAAACCCAAGTTCTGTTAGTGTTTCGTTGTCAGCATGTTGCCTGTTTTCAGCCTGGTCCTCTGCTGACCTCGAGACGGCTGCCATCCCTGCTGAGATGACAGTAGCACTCGGGGCACTGTAAGAATGACAGGAGCCTTTCTCCAAACTGCCATGTTCCATAGTCCCAACCCAGTTCGATGCCAGGCAGGCGGAATGAGATCACAGGGGCTGTATTTACTCCTTAGCTGGGAGTGGTGTCACCGCCCCAGAAGTCTGTACACAAACAAAATTGGAGGATTGGGTTCTTTAGCAAGGACAGGTGGACAGCTGTTGTACAGAAGACAGTCACCTGTGCTGCCACCGTGTTGCATCATGGTGAATGACCTCCGTGGTTCAGGCAGCAGACAGGCTCCTGGGAGCGGCTCGCTCATGAGCATCTGGTGGAGATCTGCTTTTTTGTAAGTGGGGCGTGGGGCTCAGAAGCTAAGCAGGTGGGAATCCTAACAAGTAACGGGGCCGTTATTTACATCTGTGTTAGGCCTGTCTGGATTTTTTTTGCATGTGTATCATTCTTTTTTTTTTTTTTCGTGTGTATCATTCTATTTGATGATATTCAAACTCACTGACTGTACCACTTACAGCAATAGCCTGTCCTTGTGGTGCTGCTGCTGCTGCTGTTAGGTGCCTTTGTCTGCTTTGACTCACGGCCATCTTACTGACAGCGGAGGAAGCACAGCCCCTGTAGCACCCTGTGTGGTCGTCCATCTTTTTCACCGCCCCTCTACTTTACCAAGCATGATGTTCTCCAGGGACCAGAGTACGGGAGACTAAGTCTCGCCTTCCCTGCCTCTAAGAAGCACTCTGACTGTACTTCTTCCAAGACAAGTTTGTTTGTCCTTTTGGCATCCGTGGTGCTTACAGTAGTCTTTGGTGGCACCACCATTCAAATTCCTTGATTCTTCTTTGATCTCCCGTGTTCCGTTCAGCTCTCACGTGTGAGGCCATGGCAGACACCGAGGCTTGGATTGGGTATACTGTGGTCTTCATAGTGACCTCTGTGCTCGGGATCACTTGACAAAAGTCTTGCACAGGTTTGCCCAGTGAGATATTATGGGAAGGTGGTGCACTCCTATATTGTCTTGGGCGAGTTTTCTATTGCTGATGTGTGAACTAGAAAAACTGAAGCGTTCAATTTCAAAACAGGGCTTTCACTCTTCCTTGCAGTCTGCCGCAAACTAGAAAACAACCCAGTTTGATAAGCATGTGTATCAGGAATGCATTCAGTTTCAGATTACAGAAAAACAAAAACAGACCAACCACGTACTACGTAGGGTTCTCTGGGAAAGTAGGGAGGTAGCAAGTAGTCCAGGGCCCATGGAGCAGGTCAGCCGTGTCTCTCTTCTTGCCCCGCCTGCTGTCCCCAGCCTGCTGGCATGCCACCTCGTGGTTCTCAGATTTGGTTACAGTGCCACCAGGTTCATATTCTATGCAGAAGGACAGCGAAAGAGAGAGAGAGAGAGAAAAAAACTATGCCAGCTGTCTCCATTTACCCCCTTTCAAGAAACCGTTTAGAACTGTGCGTGGAAACAATGAGTAAAGGCAGGAATTCAATGCATTCACCATTGAAAGTGGTGAAAAGGGTAAACTGTGCAGTTACTAGTAAATGGGTTTTCATGTTTATAGACAAAACTGTAGAAGACGCCTAGTCATGCTTGATTTCTGAACTATAGTCTTTGGTTACTTTAACATGTACTTCTCAACACAATGAATTCTGTATGGATTTTCATTAATCTCACTTATTTTTATTTTCCAGATACTGTTTTTTGTTTGCTTTAGGCTACCTCACAGTGTGCCAAATTACTCGAGTCTATATCTTTGATTATGGACAATATTCTGCTGATTTTTCAGGGTAAGTTAAAACTGGGCATCGGTAACCTGCTTGACTAATTTTCACGCGATGGTTAAAGAGGAAAACAGTTGGATTTAGTTGTTAAAATGAAACCAGTGCTCGCCATCGCAGTGCAGCATTCCTCTATGGATTCAGTTTTCCTTCCTGTAAAGTGGTCTTGTGTTTTGCTATATAGGCCATACAAATAAATAACCCGCATTTTTAATGTCCTTATGTAAAATTTCTAAACATGTTGTAATTAAATTTGCTATATTAAATTCTGATGTTAAAATCATTTTCTAATTCTGATAGGAATTTATGTAATCATTTATAACGATTAGAAATAAGCATCCATTCTCCCCCTAACCCCCTCTTCACCCCCCAGCTCCCACCCCCAACCCGGTCCAGAGGCTGTTTCCTTGCTTCCTCCTATTTGTTCTCTTAAAGCCTTTCCTGAAAGCCATTCACCTGCTTCTGTCTGCGGTCTAACGGCCTGTTCTTACAGCTTAGCGTTCCACAGGACTTTGTTTGGGTCCTACGTCCTTGGCTAGCGTTGTTGGTCTCTGTCATAGGGAACACATTTGAGTGTGTGTTTTATTTCTGTGCATTTCACGTCTGTGGCATATTTTATGTTCAAATATCAATATCGATGTGAGCCGTATAAATCACATCTGGCTTTAGGGTCTTCAGAAGGGATTGATTTCTTCTCTGGCCCTGAGTGGGTCTCTGCCCTGAAGCTGAACTGATTAAATGTCTTTTATAAGATAAAAGCCATGAAAGCCCTGGGGAACTAACTTGGTCATTATCTTTCTGAAAAGACTTCGCTGTGCATCAGGACTGGATAGCCTTCTCTGCTGACCAGGACAGGAAACCTGCTGGATTTTAAGCCAGCCTGGAGTTGTCCGTATAGAAGCAATGATGGCTCAGACTCACTGCCATTGAGTCCGTTCTACTTCTTTTTTTGGTGGTGGGGGGGGGGGGATAAATAAATTTGGAAGGAAAATCATGGCATTTCTAGGAGAGGACATTGTTCAACTGTAGAAATGCACCCAGGTTTTTCTTGTTTTAAAAATAGTTTTCATAGTATACACTTCACATAGCATGTAAGTGAATCATTCCTTCCTGTTAAAAAGATGTGTGCAGTCATTATCACTATCCGTGTCAGAGCATTTTCTTCTTGTAGTCATGGTCGTTAGCTCCCCGTTGTCCCCACCCTCCCCTGCCAGGCCCCTAGGCCAGTATCGGTCCAGTTACTGTCTCTAGATACCCACCTGTTCTGGATGACACACACAGGAAATCCTACAAAACACAAACCAGAAGTGAGCAAACCCAACAACAGTGACTAGGAGAAAAAACAAACAAAATGAAAGCAGAAAATATTACAAACTGAAACCACTTTAAAATTGGGTAGGAGGGAGAGCAAATGGTAGGAGGTTTCATTTTTACCTAACTCCATAGCAGACTTTACAGTGCTGTTTGTCTGATAGCATCCTTCGACTGTGGTCAGAGGAAATCCACCTGAGGGGTCCTTATGGGGACACTGTAAATAGATTTTGGGCTTCCACTGTCTTCCATAGCCTGCTCCAAACCAAGTGTTCACAATTTAAGCTCTGATACCATTCTCGCCTTCATTTTTGGATGTTGTTATTTACAGCCCTCGAATCACACAGGCTGGTGTGCTTCTTCTATGTGGATTTAGGTGATGCCCCACTTAATGTTTGAAGGCAAGCCTTTAAGACCCCAGCACTATTCTCCTGCAAGCCGGTACCATCTGGTGCCTTTACCAAACTTGCTGTAGCACCACATCTTCAGTGATCACTTCATGAGGAAGAGCATCCAGCAGGGCCATGTTATAAGAACTAATTGTTCTTATATTGGATCTAGAATTCTCGCCCCAAATACATCCATACAGTTAAAAGATTATGTATGCTTCTGGTTCCTTTTAGACCCACCATTATCATTTTATGATAGAGAACATTATAAATCATCCCCCTAGTAATTCTGTTGATCTCACTTACTGCCAACGAGTTGATGCCATCTCATAGAGAGCCTCTAGAACAGGGTTGAACTGCCCCTCTGGGTTTCTGAGACTGTAACCCTTTAGGAGAGTAGAGAGCCTCGCCTTTCTACCGAGGAGCAGCTGTTGATTTCACCGTGGAACCGCAGCCCAATGTGTATCCATTACGCTACCCGGGCTCCTATGGAGAGTGTCATTACTTTAGGCAATGGTGTAGAATTTAAAACATCGAGAAAAGGAAATCACATAAGAATAGGCCAGCTCCAGGCCAGAGCACATGAATTGTTGTGACTGGACACTGCTTACACAGACAAAGAGGGGCTGACAGAGCAAAGCTTTCAGTAACCCTCCTTCAGAAAGGCAGAGCCATTCCTACCAGGTTAATACATGCCATGAGAGTGCAAGGAGGGCATTAAACTGGTAAATGTAGGGTACTCACCACTGTTGTTATGAGCTCAGAGGAAAACCACTCCTATGAAACAAGATGAAATCTGTATTCTCCTCAGTGAGATGAACTCTTGCCACATGACAAGCTGAAAATACTGAATTCCTCAAGGCTTACATTGTGCTTGGATCCACAGTCAAGACCCTTGGAAGCAGCTCTCAAGAGATGACATGGTGTGTTGTTGTGGGCACATCTGCTGCAGGAGACCTCTTTAACGTGCTAAAGAACAAGGCTGTCCTCTTGAGGACTTTACGGAAATGTATCCATTCTTACTGGTGTGCGACTCTCACATGTGTATGACGCCATTGAAAATACCAAGCCCTCCAAGATCAGAGAAAGGAAACGCATATTTGGGCTAAAGTTCTAAGCACCCCACTTGCAGAAGGCCTTGGATGACAGTGAACGCCCAAAGTCAGCCTCCATGGTACATCCTGAGACAATTGACCGGGTCTGGAGAAGCTGGCCACATACAGAGTACACCGGACAATGAATCATTGCAGATACTAGCACGTAAAGATTTTAACATCACTTGTTTTTCCCTTTAAACCATTCTTCTTTTTTGCTATTTTCTTATCAGCTTTTTCTTGGATTGAAACAGAAACATGTCACCAATGTCACTGAACGAGTTTTATAGGAATTATTAAATGAGAACCTAATTTGTGTAGACGTTCACTGAAAACACAATAAAATTGGATTTAAAAAATAGACAAGTCTGTCCTAGATTCCCTGTGTTTCCAATTCCCATCTGTACCGCTTTGCATCATCTGGTCTAACCAGGTCTGCAAGGCAGAATTGGGGTCCTGGTAGTTGGGGGGAGGAAGCGTTTAAGAACTAGAGGAAGGTTGTGGGTT